TTGTGGTTGTCATATACAAGTAGAGGGTATTCATGGAAGGAAGTTCAGCTATAATTCCATAAAAAATTGTTTCAGCATGGCCAGGAATATCAGCTGACCTCTTTATACCTGCGGTTTAAAACAGCCATAGTCAAAAGTCATAAGGTATAATATGTAGAGACCTTGTTGGCTATTCGTGCATGTTAGAGCAATTCAGAGCGTGAACATTTTCATGTGTCGATTACAGAAGATACAGGACAGGATTTGTGGTGTGTAGAGGCACTTCATCTTGTGTCAATGTTACATGACTTATTCTGGCAATAAATTTTTTTGCTATTAAAAAGTCCATTACTATTTACAGCATTATTTTTAAATCGGTGGTAAAATACCTTGTAATGTTATGAATCTTCATCATAAGATTGCATTAAAGTAGAATATTCTGTTTTCATGTTTTTACAGATTTTCTGTAAAAAGTTCAAAACTTAATTTGAAGCCTACTATTATGAAGTTTTCATTTCATAATGCATATTTCATCTCTTTTAATATATGTGCAATAAGAGTAATATATTTATTTTGAATTACAAAAACTGAAATATATTAAATGCTACAGTTGTGCTAGTTAATTCGGAAAATTAATTACTAAAATGTTTATCAGCAGTTGATAAGCAGAGTGCCTTTATGTAGGTAAATTACACTCACGTCCATAAATTAAGGATAATGCAAAATCAGGCAAAGGAAGAGTTAGAAGCAAAACAAATTTGACTTATTTGTAAAGCTTATTTATTAAACAAAAGGTAAAGAGCAAAAAAAGATGCTATATGTTTGATGTTATTAAAAAATTAGCAATTTTTCTCCCTGGAGCAAATTAGAAAAAAAAACCTATTTACAAAAAAACAATATTACATGGTTGGTATGATTGTTAATACATTGGATGTCTCCCAGACGATGAAATACAGTCTGTACAACGCCTAGGCAGGCTGAGTATCAAATTATCGATCTGATCTTGGGGAATATTACACCACTCAAAAAGCAATGCTCTCCGAAGTTCCGGTAGACATGTAGGAGGAGGTTGAGGGGATTCACATCGTCGGCGAAGCATATCCCACACGTGCTCTACTGGATTCAAGTCCGGTGAGAATGCTAGCCAGTCCATACGGGTGATATCCTCCGATTGAAGGCATTCGCTTACGACGTGTGCACGGTGAGGGCGGGCGTTGTCATCCATAAACACAAATTGTGCGCCCATGGCGCCACGAAACAAACGAACATGTTGTTCCAGAATGACGTCCCGATAGATTTGGCTTGTCATGGTTCCAATTTGAACATGCAGGTCAGTTCTGGAATCCAGAATAATTCCACCCCAAACGAGCACTCCTGCACCACCGTAACGGTGTTATTCAATGATGTTTTCTTGGTGGTAAGGGGTAGCTGGAGCTCTCCATATGAAAGTCCGGCGAGAATCAGACTGCAAGCTAAACCTGGACTCGTCGAAAAACATCACACAAGCCCACTGTTGCGGTGTCCACAATGCACGCTCTCTACTCCTGCTAACCGCAGGCGACAGTGAGTTGCAGTAAGTGGAACGCATCTGACAGGTCTACGAGCATATAGACAAATCTTCCCTAAGCGTCTGTACATGGTCTGCCTTGAAATTGTACCAGTGGCTGAAGAGAGCTGACGAGACAAGTCTGAGGCTGTGCTCCGCTTGTTTCTTTTGGCAGTAACTGCCAAATACCGGTCCTCATTCGGTGTTGTAACTCTGGGGCGACCTGTGCTGTAACGTCTACTCACATTACCATCATCTTGGAATCGTTGCCAAAGTCTGGAGATGACACTCTGGGCAATTCCAAGTTCGTCTGATACTTCTAGTTGGGTACGCCCACATTTCACACGGCCGGTAATTCTACCACGTACAAAATCATCCAAATACGTCCTTTATGTCATAACTATTCGGTTATTGCACTGAAATGCTTATAAAGCACCTGGGAACAATTTTACTTCTTTGCCTGTATTTCTTATATATCACTCTCTTACACTCTCGTCATTGTGACGTACCATCGGTGCCATCTAGTTACTTCCTGAAATTTGCATATGATTCTTGAAGATGTGTGTAGTGATTTTACAGGTGATATATTTATTTTAGAGTTCGATTTCCGCGTGACTCCGGATTATCCTTAATTTATGGACATGAGTGTAAATTTAAGTTATGCAATATAATATAATTATGGTTGTTTATATCTATATATATGCAGCAATCAATATAAAATATTTCTTGAATTATTAATATTCTTGTGTATCAGCCGTGCATTATTTCAGCCTCTGATTATTTCAATATGTTCTTCCTTAATTTCTTTGTAATGATTTTTTTGTACTGTTTTTTCATTATCTTATATTTTAACATTTATATTATCGAGAGATATGTTTAATCTCTAAGAAAATAAAACCTGCTTTTAAATAAGAAAATTCATTTGAATCCTTGTAAAATTTACTTTGTGTCATAGCTATTCATGTTACGTTTTAACATACCTACATAATACATTTTAACCTATACTAGTTCTTAAGGTCTAGACTAAAATAATTTTTCAAGTAATATTTATCAGGATCTCCAGCAGTTTAATCAGCTTGTAAATGCCATGGAATGTGAATAAAAGTACGAATTATGCATAGAATAATTTATTTTTATATATAATTTTAATTAACTAAATATTTATTTATTATACACCAGAAGCAATGTGTAATTTCATTTTTATGTTGGGAAAATGTCTCTCTCTCTTTTAGATTTGAATATTGCAAAATCAAGAGTTTCTGACGAAATCGATATCAATAGTTTAACATGCACCAGCAGTAGATCGGCATATTCAAATTTTATTACAAAAAATGTAACAATAAAATTGATAATTTTGTAGTGATATAAAGCTATATCAGATGGTAAGAAAAAAATTATACAAAATAGGGCGATACACAAATGCTACTGTCTGTTATTGAAAAAAACTGTATATCTTCACAGAGGATATAAATGATATCACCACTGATTTGCGATATATCTTATATTATGCTGCAGTAAGAGTTATTTCCATTGAAGAAAGATCTTAAGCATAATCTGCAAAGTTTTAGAATTTGAAAGTCATTCGAGAGAAACATTCCAAAATAAATATTGTTACATTTAACCAACATTATTGGATTTCCTCTCTTCGTACCTACTGAAAGCAGGCTTTAGTCAAATCAATTTACCATGGAAAACAAGTTGAACATTTTTTATGTGATTTAAGAACTAAACAATTTTATGCAAAATACTAAAAAAATTGTGTTGAAGGTTTAAATAAAATGGAACCGTTATTCAATTGCAATCTGCGATTTTTCTTCTGAAAACTTGTTTATATTTATAAAATTAAAACCAAAAAAACATAAATCTAATTAAAAAAATTTCTAAACTTTTGTTTATAGTCTAATTGTCATGTGAAGTCATTTGCATAATCAATATGTTGTATGCTGTTTGTTATATAGAAAAAAGTAATAATCGATTGATATAGGTTATTAATTGTATAATAGGATATATAATAATTAATAACTTATAGCAATAATTATTAACAAGTATTTCCATAGCAATAATGGAATACAAAAATACCAGAAGAATCAGCAGAAAATGGCTAATATGAAATTTTATGCCTGTGCTCTGAAATAATTTCCTGCGCCTTATAATTAATAGTTAAAAATAGTTACAATTAATGGTAAATATAATTATAATTAACGGTCTACGGTATTTTTAAATCATGGTTCAATATGTCTCCAATTTATGGTTCAACGTATTCCTACTTCACGGTTCAACATTCTCTAATCATGGATGCCAATTCATGGTTCAACATATTACCAAACAATGGTTCACTCAAAGCACCAAATCATGGAACAACATTTTACCATCTTTTGGTTGCAACTTTTTTTGTACCATAATTTGGTGAAACCTCGAACCAAATTTTTACAGTATATATATATATATATATATATACTGTAAAAATTTGGTTCGATATATATATATATATATATATATATATATATATATAATATTTGACGTTGAAAATAATCGAATATTCAGTTAAGCAGAGAATCGGCGTTTGAAATAAGAAGTTTCGAGATGGAAAGTAAGATTGATTTCAAACTCTTAAAATGCATGTGCGTTGCAAATATTAAAATCTAATATGATACTGAAGACTAAAATTAAACCCTAAGTTCATAATTATAGTATAATTGCCCTATTAATTTGGAATACTATTAGCATTTCTGTTTCAAATTATTAAAAACGATTTCTGATCGGATAAATTTGTTTCTCAGCATTCTATGTAAATTAGAATCGAATAAAGTTTTATTAATTACTTTTACGATCAATTATTATTATATAGTAAAGAAAACCGTATGCTTTTTATTATTCTGAAATTTATTCCTAAAGAATTATTGCTATAAATTTCATTAAAGGAAATGATACTATTTTGTATTAGCTAAGAAATACCTGGCGACAGAGTAGAATCTTGGCTAATAGCGCATGCGCCACCAGAATTGGCGCTGAAATATATTCTGTGAGAAACTTCATTTTTGTTGTACATTCGAAGTTGCGATGCATATGTTACGCTGTAAAGAAACCTAGCGCCAGAGTGTCGCTATGGAAAATAAATGTATGGAAAGTTTTGAAAGTGTTATTTTCTGTAATCTGTGTGGTGTTATTTTATTGTGATATATAGCTATCGACGGGAAATAGAATAAGTCAATTCAGGTACATATGACTTTTAATCATTTAAATTTAGAATTTAACGAACATTCACTTTATTGTAGTCCCTAATAGCACTTCAAGTTTCTAACGAATCTAAATGTTTTGGGTCAACGCTACTTTGATGTAGTTTATAGTTACACTGCGAGAGTCTTAATAGCATCGTTAAGGAATCAACGATGATATGATGATTTCATATTAAAACTATAATATATTTCTATTAAAACTCAAAAGAAAGCAAATTATTATTAAGTATATATAAATACCTTGAGAGCTGCTGCAGCATTCCTTGCGATATGGACCCAATTGCATCATTCACTCTCACAGTAGATTTCTTCTTATAAGCATTGATCAATACTTCCAAAAGAAAGAGAAGGAAAAAGTGAGGCACAACCTATGAAAAATCCGAATTTGGTGATTTTGTGAATACAGATCATAAAGCAAAAATTTTAAAAATATTACTTCAAAAACGTTTCCATACACCGAGTAATTCAGCTAAACATGATTAATTTGTAGGAGAGGCAGTTTTCACAAAGACAAATCGGAATCATATAGCAATCGAGATTGGAAACACCATCTTCATGTGTTCATCATTACTTGACATTTGGACATGACTTCTGAACATCGGTGGATTTGGCGTAGTTGTCCCATTTACTGGCCTGCAAGATCGTGAACATACTATGTCCTTCTGATATTATTTAAAGAAATGATGCAATATACCCGGTTGAAAATTATGAGGACCAGAAGCTATTTCAAAAGTTCTCTGAAGCTTGGGAAAAAGTCCAAGACACGTCAGGAATTTCCCAAATTGTAACGGAATTCTAAGCGCCGAAGATGTAAAATGCATTTTGCTGTTCAGTGCATGTTTTTGTTCAGTGTATCCTCAATGCATTTCATTAATGTCTTGCAAACAAGACGAATTTTGTTCTTTCACATGCCGCTGTTTCATTTCCCGTCTTCTCTGTACCCTAACACATGAAAATGGCGCTTCCAACCTTGCATTAGTATGATTTTGATTTGCCTTTGTGCAAGCTATGTCTGCCAAAAGTCTTTCGATTGGCTGAAGTACCCTATATTTATTATATGCTAGTGCAACTAATTAAAAAAGCAGAAATTTATAATTTTAATGCACTTATATTTAATGCACTTTTAATGTTCTGATTGTTCAAAACAAACAATGCGTTTTTGTTTAAGGTCAAACTGATCACATCAAAGATGGAAACAAAATTAAACAGAAAAGGTCTTTCAATCATAAGCTCTCGATATTTTTGAAAAATAATGCACTTGTATTTGTTCATCTAAAACTATATAAGAAAACACTAAAATAAATAACACCAAAATGTTATGGATAAGCAAATAAAATATAACGGTATTTGGCGATACAGCATCTTTGGCAATTTTGAACAATTTCAAAAGTTAGTTTCCAAATTCTTAATAATCGGTTCTCAGAAGGAAACTACAAAATAATACATGACGGCACGATTCATTAAGAACTTTAATTTACATGCATGTATGAGTATGAGTTTCAGTCGTTTACAGAGGGTAGGGGACAGAACATCCTTATATTAAAGGCGAATTATAAAAAACGTATTGCTGATAGACAACACTTTTTCTGCTAAGGGAAGAATATAATTTAAATTTTTAAATCATACAGTTTTAAACAAAATATCTCGAAGACGATGGCGACCGTTCTCTATGCACTGATGCAACATGTTCACCGAAATTCTCCCGATTAACATTCTTCGACTGAAACAAGTTTGCAGGGTTATGTTTGGAAGCCTCTGCCTCGAAGTGCTCGCCAATCTCATAAAACACCGCCAACTATAGCAGACGCCATCCTACTAGGCAGCGAAGCATTAGGGTGTAAGGGGAAACGCTATTGGTGTTCTCATAAAAAAATTACATGGCATTAGATTGTACAAGTGTATCGCCCACGGGATAACACCTCGAATCGAGATGAGCCATCCAGGAAACGGGCCCACCAGTGGCCGAGCGGTAACATTGCTGAACACTTGTAGATCGATCCGAGGTTCGAATACCGCGAACAGGCTGGCTGCATGGGCGTTTTCGTGGTTTTCCCCATGTGTAACAGGTATACGAGCTAGTTACCTTAGAAAGTGCTCCACGAAGGCATCCCTCCCTTAAGGCAGATAGCCCTCGAGTGCTTTTCCATAATCTAATAAAACCAAAACCAAACCATCCAGGAAACTGTCATCGAAGCTCGGACTGGAAATGCATCTCTTCTAAAGCTTGTTGTATAAAGTTTTGAATCATGTCCACATAGCGCTGAGAGTTGACCGTATCTGCTTGATTGTCTTCCTCAAAAAAAGTAAGGACCAAAAGCTCCAGCTCTCGACAACGAATACAATCGCATCACCTATTGTAAATCTGCTGCAATTGAGGAATGTTATTCGGCAGGAAACAATGAGAATTCCGATATACACGTTGGAACGGATTGTTGAACATGTAGAAGGGAACTTCAGAACTAGAACTGCGTCCTGAAGGGAATGTGGCAGAAATCATTCATTCATACAGACTGTGAGGAGTGTAAGCCGATTATGTTGAGTCACCAGGCAGAGCTGGACTTAACGTGTCACAGTGCCATTACAGTACATCCCATCCAAAGATAAAGCCCTGCCCATTTACAGAGATGGCTCAAAAACCGAAAAGGGCACAGGTTGCGCCTACTGCGTACTTCAAGGAAGTAAAGTAGTCAAAACTTGGGAAAGACGCCTAGAAGTGAAAAATTCCGTCTTTCAGGCGAAGCTTCTTGGACTAAAAGCAGTTATCAATTTGACCAACCTTTCATGTAACTGAAAAGATAACTATATATAGCGACTCAGCCTCAAGTTTGGAGGCAATTCGAGGATAAAGAAGTTGGAGCCCAATAGTACACAACATACAAAAAATTCTTCTAAGTATCCCATCAGATGACAGACCATATCTGTTCCTGGTTCCCGCACATATGGTAAATGATGGGAACTAAATAACGGACTTGCACGCTAAATCTGCAGCTAACAATCTTAATTGACTCAGAAACCGAGTAAGCGTATCATCGTCATATTTAAAGAGAATTACGCTAAATTATCTAGCATGGAAGGGGCAAAAAAGATGAGATGGTGAAAATACAGGAAGAAAGTCATACGGGTTTTCTAAATGTTCCATATATTGCAAAGACACATAGTGGGGCACAGACTCAGTTTTATACGGGCCATGGTCCCTTCCTTCACTACCTTCATAGTTTGATAAACGCGACACAGACTCATGTGAAGCTGGAGAGGTAGATGATCCAGATCACTACCTTTTCAACTGCCCAAACACATAGAATGAGCACCTAAAAATTCTTAGCAGTGCCTACTAACCGCAGTGGGCCAAGAATAAATGTGAAAATAAGCAGGCCAAACGTAAGATTATCGTAAGGCCAATTATCAGAAATATCAGATTCTGTGTAGTTAAATATTAAAAACGGAAATGCCCTAGCAGTTTCGGCACCCTGCAGCGGAGAACACTGCTTTGACTAAACATGATTTGAACATGACTTGAACTGCAGCCTAGCGCAACTAGATCAAACAATACTAACACTTAAGGATTAGTACAGTAGCAATGATACTCTTTACAGCTACCGCACCCTCAATATTAGTTGCAATTACTCAACGCATCACCACAAAGGTGCCAGGATCTGAAAGACATCAACACTTTCTGAGTTACCTATGATGAGTTACAAACTATTGAGATGTAGCATAAGTTAATCAGTTCGTAATGCAATACAGAAAAACAGCATTGTAAGTATAAGTACTTACGTACTACAGATTTAATTACTCTCACCACTACTCGCATTTGCTGAAAATACTTTTTATAAAATAGTTGAACAATCGTAAAAGAACTTTCAGTCATAGCAAATGTTTTAACTATTGATACTTTAATTATATATATATCTGTAACAGAACTGTAAATATGGACTGTATATTTTTTCGGACTTTTGTTCGAATTCAATCCCACCATGTACATAATGTTAATTAGAATTACTGGATACATATTGATGAACCCCGAAATCATCAAAGCTCATATAAATAGAACATAAATATTGTATGAAAACAATGAGTGTACAGTTTATACAATAAATGTACTCACCAGAACCCTGTATATTTAGATATGAACTCTGTGTCTATTTGTTATGAACCTTGTGTATTTATGTAGGTCCTTTATTCCATAAATCTTAATTATTCACATTAACACCGCCCATTTTCAAGCTCAGGTTTTCCATCTGCCAGGATGACAATACACTGGAAGACATTTACTTAAATGTCAGGTCAGTGGTCGACCCTTGTGGCGCATAGTGCATAGAGAACGGTAGCCATCTCCTTCGATATATTTTGGGTACTTTTCCGTTTCGCCCGCGCAAGCGATAAAGTCGCCAAAAATGATACAACTGACGCCAAACGGTATATGCCGGCTGGTAACCTTTTACCGCCACATTTTCAAAGCAAGTCGCGGGTCGCGGCTATTTCTAATCAGTCATGTCTTTCTCCTAATACGTCAAAAATGGATGAAAATCCAATGAAAATTTGAGATCTTCCCAGAAGAGAGGAAGAATGTGTCCATTTTTTTTTTTTTTTTTTTTTTTTTTTTTTTTTTTTCAAGCGAAAGGCGTTTTCCCTAAAATTGCTACTTGTGATAATAATCATGAAATGAAATTAAATTCGAAACGAAATTCAGTGGCGCTGTAACCTTTCAATTTGTCCCAGTAAAAGAAGTATCCGGAAAAGCACATAGTTTAAGTCATCGAAATTGAATTTCTTGAAGTGTGTGAGGTTTATTTATGGTTGGAGCGATGAATTAACTTCAGTTAAATGGTGTGACAATCAGTCAGTTGAAAATCGGTCATGGAACAATTGTGAACTGGAATAACAACTTGTGCGAGTTTGTGTGGATTCTTTTTAACCGTAAACAACGGAAAATAGGACGACCTGGTATGATCGTCGAAGTGGATTGAAAGCATGTTCACGAAGCGCCAAGAACAGTGCGAGACGGATTCTACTACAGCAGTTGATCTTTGGTGGATCTTGCCGTGAAACAAACAAATGTTTCCTTGTGAAGCTGCCAAACTGATCCATGAACATTATATTAGAAGCAATTAAATATCGAAAAAGGAACTATAATATATTCGGATTCGTACAAATCATACTGCACTGAAAAACGTGATGAGGAAAATTTCGAAGATTTCAAAGTGAACTAACTAACTATATATACAATTTTGCTGATTGGGAAACTGGTACACAGGCCGAAAAAAAAAAAAAAAAAAAAAGAAAGAAAAGAAAGAAGAAAGAAAGACGATGAGGTAGCAACAAATGGCGAAATAAGAAACACGGAGGAACGGCACGCCATCATTTGAAAAATTATCTCGCGGAATTTATTTGGAAAGGGAAACGAAAGACCCATTTCAAAAAAAAATTTAAGCAACATTAAAATGTTCATGCCTCTAAAGAAAAAAAAAATCTTAGAACTAACATTTGTTAAATTTTTTTTTTATGTGTATACTGTGTGTTGTCGCCAATAAAGTTTGCTAGGCGATATTTGCGCCGGCGAAATGGAAGAATACCATATTTTGTTTAAAACTACATTATTTAAAACTTTCAATTATGTTCTTCCTTTAACGAAAGAAAAAATGTCTATAAGCAATACTTTTTATATTAATTCGCCTTTAAAAAACGTTTCTGTACCCCAGACCATCTTTCCCAATCCGGGGAATTTTCCAATTACATTACATGCAACACCAAACAGTTGAAGAAAGCCTGATTTCTTCACCGATTAATCTTTGATATTTCTCCGAAATAAATGGTTACCGCTATTAATCATTAGCTTTAGTAATCGAAATTCACTGTGTATACGAGAAAAATACATTTTATTCACTTTCACACATTAATTTCTCTCACGTTTATAACGTTCTAGTTCGTTTACGTGCCCTTGGTAACTAGAACTTTTATGGAAGCGTCTAACGACTACTTGCTGGTCTTCCTACAGCTATAAAATATAGGTTCAAAGAAGAACCTTTATTCACTCAAATAATAATATCCTTTTATTCACTCAAAGAAATGTTCACAGACGGCCCCTGCTCAGGCTTACGTGAAAGCCTCTACTTGGACTTTAACTTACGATAAAAAATTTAAAAAAAATAAATAAACTAATTATAACTAGCTAAACTTTAGCTAAAGCTGTACAAAGATAACTAACCGAGTTGGCCCGTAATTAAATCTCACCGGCGGTTACTAACAGGCACGTAAGACTATGGCCGTACGTAGTAAGATAGACTTGACGCAACTACGTGGCAGAAAACTCTCTATTGAGAACTTCTGAGCTCTTCTACGGAAGTGACTGAACTTCTATTAAATGGCGGTTCTACTTCATTTACATAAAACGCAATACTGAAATCTTATTTTGGCAGAGATTTGTAGGTGGGAAACAAGAATTTAAAGGAAAGGGTTTTGTTCGGTGTCTGAAAGAGTATTGCTTGGCAGCATTGTTTTACGCCAAGCAGAGTTTGGCTTTAGTGTAACCCTAAAGTTATTTCGTTTTTGCTTTATTAGTATGAATGATTTCTGACTTGATGTAAGAGCATATGGTTGCTCGCTCTTAGCTAAGTTACATAGGTAACTATAAGCACATGCGTGTGCTAGTATTCAATAATGTTGTTTTTGTTAAAATAAATTTGTTATTGTTAATATTACAGTCCACTTACTGAACTTAAGTTTCATTAAATAAGTTTGAGCTATCTTCGGCAAGAACAGGTTTAAAACTTAAAAATAACTATTAAAAATCTATCGGCAAGAACAGGTTTAAAACTTAAAAATAACTATTAAAAAAACTAAAATAATCCCTACACGTTTACTCTCTGCAAAAATTCTAGTTACGAAAACTTTAACTTAAAAAACTAAGACTAATAACTAACAACACAATCAACTTCAACAACAGGAAAATTAATTAAAGGATTTACTTGTGGTACATATTCAGGCACTTCTTCTACAGTCTCAAACGATGTTTTGTTGGGATTCACGATGTAAAACAGATACCCTAATCTTTCCAAAAACACGTTAGTCATCTTTCACGATTTTCGCTATAGGCAGGGAGTCCAGGAATTTTCAACTGGAAAAATTTAATTCATATTATTTATTAAATAATGATAAAATGTAGTGATACTAATATTTAATTCAATGTTTATGAATTAAAAATCTATGTTCATGAATAGGATTGCACAAAACAAAGAAAAGAGAATAAAAAATATTCTTGCTTGATATCTTAATTATCTTAGACAATGTCAAACTTCAATACAAATAACTACAAGCAATCACGGAACTTCACATTTATGTCTGTGCTTCGATAAGCTCAGACGAATGAATTCAGAAAATTTTATTGACATACTAAAATCACATTTCACTTTCTGAAAAAATTGAAAGCGATATACAGAACCTCCACTTATCGTCCACATTTGGTCGCCAAAGACACTCTACTTAAATAGCGTTATTTATTTTTCACATCCACTATATCTCAAACTATCCATTAAATTAGTAACCCTTTTTAAATCACGTTCCCAAAACAACATTTCCCACAACAATCGTTTGAAAGGAATTATGGTTGATCTTTACAATATGGTAACTGGTAGTTTGGCGACATTTTGGAGGCGATAAAGGTTACTACCTGGGACTTTGATAATAATGTGAGCAGTACTCAGTTCCGATTACGCATTATTTTGTGTGAGGGAAATGAGAGATCATGGGATATGCCATGTGATATTAATGGACGAATTACGGTTCTTTAATCGGAAAAGGGGGGAAATCGGGAAAAAATCTGGAAATTTTGTATTTGGCTTTATTCTGTGTTGGGTGAAACAGTGTTCGTGAATTTTTGGATCCCATGGCCGTAACTAAAGTGAATTCGAAATGGGTATTTATGTATGTATTAATTTAATGTATGTGCTCGTTTATATTTTAAGTAGTGTTTTTGAATTTAATTATATTTTAATTAAATGATAGTTATTTTGTGAATTTTATGTTTGTAGAAATTTGGTATACGTTTTAGTTGAAGTAAACGTGCATGGAAATAATTTTAATATTTGATACTAAGTATTTGTAATGCTTGCGGTATGAATTCGTTGGTGACGTGTATAATGTAATAGATGATTTAGAGGTAAAAGTTTTTGGATATTTTATTTATTTTATATGTGGAAATGTTCATACTTGGAAAGGGTAAATACTTTTTCGCGATCAGGTAATTTCATATATGTTCTTTTTACCGGGTTTAAAGATTGAGAAAATTGTCATGTATTTTCGTGAAATTTTTCTAATTTATGAGAAAAAAGCAGTGTACATGGATATAGTGAAGAGTGTGCGCAATGCCATTTTTGTGCAATTCTGGGTTGTTTTTTTAAGTAAAAAAAAGTCGACGTGTACATGGTTTAGTGATATTTTAATTAAATGATAGTTATTTTGTGAATTTCATGTTTGTAGGAATTTGGTACACGTTTAAGTTGAAGTAAACGTGCATGGAAATAATTTAAATATTTGATACTAAGTACTTGTAATGCTTGCGGTATGAATTCGTTGGTGACGTGTATAATGTAATAGATGATTTAGAGGTAAAAGTTTATGGATATTTTATTTATTTTATATGTGGAAATGTTTATTTATATGTGGAAATGTTCAGAGATTTCTTGTTAGAACTGAGTCTTTACAGGAAAGTTAATCGACGACGATAAAAAATGAAGCATAGTTAACGGCCAATGAAATGAACAACAAATAGTACTCACTACATCAAGATTACGAAGCTTTGAAAAATTTAAAGCGAAAAATAGTCGCAAAGCAGATCGTAAAGATATTTTGATACTTACCGTATCATCTCGTCGGTGCTACTTTGGTAGACGGTTGCACGGATTTTTGGCGATTTACGTTGGCTCAATTGTTGGCGCGGTTTTTACAATCGTCAGCCATCTTGAAAAACGCTGTTTTTACGCATAGTAAAGTATTCGAAACTTAAAAAAAAAAAGTAAATATCGTTAAAAGTAATGGATTAATATTTTGTTGAAAATGTCGTTTTTTAAGTTGGCAGGCAAGTGTAAATAAATACATTTACTATGAGTATAAATACTAAAGTAAGGTTATTATTACTTTCATATAGCAAAGAAGAGAATAAAAACACCGCTATAAAAACATTGTGCCAAACTTTAATTAGATTAAAATATTACTTAATATGAATATCGAATTAAAAACATTATACCAACATTTAAAAGAATTAAAATATTTACTAAATTCAAATATTTTAAAATACGTTATATAGAATATAATTAACATTAAAACATATGTGACAATAATTATCTCAGCAATTTTTGAAAATAATGTATTAATTTTTTTGACAAAAATTGATGGTGTTGGTGTATTTAATTATGGCAAAGCACACTAGGGCTATCTGCCTAATGGGAGGGATGCCTTCGTGGAGGACTTTCTAAGGGAAACTGGCTCGTATACACGTTACACATGGGGAAACCACGAAAACAGCCATGCAGCCAGCCCGTTCGCGGGATTCGAACCTCGGACCGAACTACCAGTGTTCAGCTACTTTACCGCTCGGCCGCTGGCGGGCGACAAAAATTGAAGTATACAATTACAAAATAAAAGAAAAATATGTACTTACATTTTTTTGAGTCATTTCCTGTCGTTTATTGATAAGCACCACGAAAAAAATCGGAATCAGAATTTAGATATCAAGGAAAAAAATTTTAAAAATGTAATATCAAGGGCAGGAATAAAAAAATTAAAAAAAAAATTATAAATAGATAAAGCAATTTAGAGCCAAATTAATGGATCATGAAGATTAAAAATAACAAAAAAATTTGAAAAAAAAAATCCAATAATAGGTATTGTTTTTAAGATTTCGAAGATCCTCTAACCGCCCCTCCCTGAAGTACAAAGGACAATTCTTTGATTCCGATACCAAATTCTTGGTACTTATCAATAACAACATTCATCTTTGAAATGGATTCATCTTTGAAGGAATTCGAAGATATAAATTAAATTTTAAAATGGCGCGGTAATGCACAAATTTTCAGTAACCAATCAGGGAGCTGATTACAGCTCGTTAATGCACAAATATTCTATAACCAATCAGAGAGCTGATTACATCACGCCTAGAATTAAAATTATTTAAATAATCATACATAATAAAATAATTTTTCAAAAAAAATGCAAAATTAAATTGTATTTTAATATTTAACAGCCGATAATGTTTAAAACATTAGATTAAATTTATAGATATTAAACTAATGACTTTTAAAGTAAGGTGACGTCATTGATTACATCATCCACAACAGAAAATTTCATAAAATAACATAAACAATAAAATTTTTATTTCAAATAAAAATGCAAAATTAAATTGATTTTTAATATTTAAAATCCATAAATAATATTTTAAAACACGGAATTTATGCATAATAAAACGCATTATTTTTTTAAATAAAATGACAGCAAAGTATCGGTTACCATAAATAACTTATCCAGCAATTGGTTTACCATAAGTCGTATTACTCGCCAAAAAAAATCGCCAAAAAACCGCCAAAATCCGTGCAACCATCTTCCAAAGTAGCACCATCCCGTCGACCGGCCAAGTAACGCAATTTCGCGCCAACTGTTCTAGTTTATAGAATTCCGGTACAATTTCATATCGACAATAATGCAAGGATGAGGCGCCTAAGTAACGAAAACTACTCATGATTTGCATTGTCAAAAGTATGAGCCATTAGCTTTTTTAATTTTCTATTAGTTTAATTGCATTATCAAATGTATAAGTCATTATCTTTTTAATTTATCATGGGATCCTTTCTATATAAAACAGTAGATGAATTTCGTGAATAGAGTTAAACTTTTTATTCGCATTAAATTATATGACAATTTTTTCCCTCTTTTATTGCAATAATTTTCGTATCCATTTTACACTCATGTCCATAAATTAAGGATAATGCAAAATCAGGCAAAGGAAGAGTTAGAAGCAAAACAAATTTGACTTATTTCTAAAGCTTATTTATTAAACAAAAGGTAAAGAGCAAAAAAGATGCTATATGTTTGATATTATTAAAAAAATTAGCGAATTATTTTTCTCCCTGGAGCAAATTACAAAAAACACCTATTTACAAAAAAACCAATATTGCATGGTTGGTATGATTGTTAATACAGTTTTATGTCTTCCAGACGATGCAATACAGTCCGTACAACGCCTAGGCATGCTGAGTATCAAATCATCGATCTGATCTTGGGGGATATTACACCACTCAAAACGCAGCAATGCTCTCCGAAGTTCCGGTAGACATGTAGGAGGAGGTTGACGGGCTGCAACTCATCGGCCAAGCATGTCCCACAAGTGCTCTACTGGATTCAAGTCCAGTGAGAATGCTGGCCAGTCCATACGGATGATATCCTCCGATTGAAGGCATTCGATTACGATGTTTGCACGGTGAGGACGGGCGTTGTCATCCATAAACACAAATTGTGCGCCCATGGCGCCCCGAAACTAACTTACATGTTGTTCCAGAATGATGTCCCGATAGATTTGGCTTGTCATGGTTCCAATTTGAACATGCAGGTCAGTTCTGGAACCCAGAATAATTCCACCCCAAACGAACACTTCTGCACCACTGTAACGGTGTCATTCAATGATGTTTTCTTGGTGGTAACAGGTACCTGGATATGATCTCCATATGAAAGTCTGGCGAGAATCTGACTGCAAGCTAAACCTGGACTCGTCGAAAAACATCACATAAGCCCACTGTTGCGGTGTCCACAATGCATGCTCTCTACTCCAGGCTAACCGCAGGCGACAGTGAGTTACAGTAAGTGGAACGAATGACAGGTCTACGAGCATATAGACCAATCTGCCCTAAGCGTCTGTACATGGTCTGCCTTGAAATTGTCGTACCAGTGGCTGAAGAGAGCTGACGAGACAGGTCTGAGGATGTGCTCTGAATGTTTCTTTTGGCAGTAACTGCCAATACCGGTCCTCATTCGGCGTTGTAACTCTGGGGAGACCTGTGCTGTAACGTCTACTCACATTACCATCATCTTGGAATCGTTGCCAAAGCCTGGAGATGACACTCTGGGCAA